TTGAAAGTGAAAATGATTCTGTTGAAAGTGAAAATGATGTAATAAATCAAAAGGAATATGCTAGCATAATCAAAAGTTTGAGATATGTGACTGATTTCACTAGGCCTGATATTGCATATGCAGTAGGAGTACTTGGCATGTTTACAAGCAAGCCAGGTAATGAACATTGGCATGCTATAACAAGAGTTATGAGATATTTAATTGGAACAAAAAATTGTGGTTTGTTTTAAAAAAAATATCATGTTGTACTCGAAGGCTTTTGCGATGCAGATTGGAACACATTATCAGGTGATTCATGTTCTACCACTGATTATGTCTTTACTTTAGGTGGTGGTGTTGTTTGTTGGAGATCAAAAAAGTAAACTATAATTGCTAACTCTACCATGGAGGCTGAACTAATTGCTTTAGCTTCAACTAGTAAGGAAGCGAATTGGTTAAGAGATTTATTATTTCAAATACCTTATTTTGAAAAATCAATTCCTCCGATTTTAATTCATTGTGATAGCACCGCTACGATTGGTAGAGTTTAAAACTGTTATTACAGCGGTAAATCCAGACCTATAAGGAGGAAACACAGTAATGTAAGATCATATTTGACAAATGGTACCCTTAATGTTGATTATGTCAAATTTTGTGATAATCTTGCAGATCCTCTTACTAAGGCCTTAACAAGAGAAAAAGTCTGGAGCACATCAAGAAAATGGGATTGAAGCCTATAAATCCTTGAGTCATATATGAGGAAACCCAACCTGGGACTAGAGATCCTATAACCAGGTTCAAAGGGAAAAACTAATCATATGATGACCTGTTGTGAAAAAATGCACTACTTTTTTTATTCCCTCCCTATGATGTGAGTGCATTGTTTGCTGTAGTAATTTGTGAAGGTTGAGTTTACAAAACTCTTAATGAATATTTGTAGCCCGTATGGGTGGAGTGTTAAACTTACAGGAGCACTCTCGACAGATTTCACCTATCTGTCACCTATGTGATGTGTGGAAGTAGGTCGCTTCCTATAAGAATTGGTTTATTCTCAAAAGCACACATGAAATCGGGATAACACAAGGCCATAACGTGCTGACTTTTAAAGCTCATGTCAACACCTTGACTATTATGTGTAGGCAGTGACATTTATATCCCTTAAGCAGTCATAGTTCAAGTCTGAGACCACTATGACTCTGGAGTAAAAATTACTGTTTTACTAAGTGAAGGTTCAATGAAGAGCACACCTTCATTATGCATGATAGTCTTCCTTCAACTGATAGACTCTCTTGATTAATATTAAAATGAGTGGGAGATTGTTGGTAATTTAGCATTTTAAATTAATAAAATTTGTCATTTGGAATGCCTCTGTGTCCGTGAGTGGCAGTTTTCTTACATATTGTTTTAAGTAACATTACTATCCACTCATTATGTGCACAGTTTGGGCTTAATTGCTCATTATTTTGGAGGAAATAAAACATTGCTGAGAACGTTGGTGGACTGACCATGGGCAGCGCATTTGTTGTCCATTGTTAACATTGGTTATCAAGCATCAATTCCATTCTTTATTCCTCAATTATACCTTCTAACATATGTAACTCCTAAAGCCATTATCTTCACTATTTAGTACTCCATTATCTTCCTATTTATTCCTAGGAAGACTTCTTCTACTATAAATAGTGGTGGTCTTCATTTGTTTAATACACAAAAAAAATATAGAGTGCATAAAGTTTGTCAAAAAAGAAAGTTCTTATTAGTTGAAGGGAGGTGTTTCTTTTGTGGAGCTTTAGACTCAACTCCTGTCCAAAGTTGTTGAGTTATATTTTGTGATTAGGTTGTTGTATCCTGGAGGGAACAAGTGAAGAAGGACTATTGCTGAACCGGTGAAAAACATTTACTGCAGTGGGCTTGAGTCTCCTTAAAGAGAGCGAGATATCCACACCTCAGCCTGAAGAGATTTATTTCTTCATTTTTATTTTCAATTGTAATCTTGTAATTTTTGTTATTTTGTAATTTTTCACTAACAAACAACAAATCAGCAAGAACAATTTTTATTTTGTTGAAAATGGACAATTCAATTTATATCCTTGGTATTGGGGATTAAATGTTTACCATAATAAGTTGCTTGAAAATATTTAAGTCACCTAATAAATATTACTCCTTCTGTCCTAATTTATGCGACACATTTCATTTTTTTTAGAATCAAACAGTTTAAGTTTGACCTAGAATTTGCTCATGAAATTTTCAATTTTTTTAAGCTGAAACTTATATATTTGTAAACTACGTAAAAAGTACTATAAGTCAAGATAAGTGACAATTACGGTCAAAAATAATCTTATTTGAATCTCGAAATTCAAAATATGTCACAAAAATTGAGATAGAGAGAGTAAAAATTAGGTGGATTCCTTTTTTATTCAAGAGTTACGCAGGTATATTTGTTTGTGTTTCGAATTCCATTCCTAGAAATTTGTGGAAATCAATTGCTAAAAATCTGTTAGAAGAATATTGCAAATGAAATTTTCATGTCATCAAGAAATAAGGTGAAAATATTTTTATTATGTAGAGCATATGAATGTATTTATATAAACTAATTTTTGGGAACATGCGTTGTGCGTTTATTCCTTGTAATTACTACACGATTTCTATATAATTAAAAAAAATTGAATTTTCGTAATAGAAAATATGCGTGTATTTCACGCTACTTAGTATAAATATTTGTAAATGATTTAAATACAATTACAATATGTATAAATAGTTATTCATAAAATTAAGTAATCAAAAGAGAAGGAGTGTAACACCAAATTAAAGCTTAACATCAAATGGACAATCTGACAATCATATCAAATAGTTTTAAGAAATTGTATCATTTTGATACGTAGATTTCACATGAGTTATTAGTTGTGAAGATGACATATAATGTTTGAAGAAAATATATAAAAATTTATCAATATCCATTACATTATTATAGCATCACAATAAACTATACAACTTCAGATGTACATTCTATTCATCCCACAAATATTCGAAAATAAGACGAAATAGAGTAGACTAAAAATAATAAAATGGCTAATGAATTCTAAAACGTCGTTTGGTTGGAAATAAGTTATCCCAGGATTAGTTATCCTGGAGTTGGCTATCCTGGGATAACTTATCCCACCATATATATGGGATAACTTATCATATCACTATGATATAAATGGTGGATAAGTTATCCCAAACATGGCAACCAATTAAGATACAAAATTTTTATCTCATCACTATTTTCTTATCCCATCACCATTTTTTTTATCCTTCACACCAAACGACCCCTTAAATAACAAAAATTAAAGAGAGAAAGTTTCAGTTTAAAAGAATGGAGGAACTTCCTCAATACTCCCTCCGTCCACAATTGTTTGTCAGGGTAAGGTCATGCACATCCCTCAAGGAAAATTTAATACAAGGTGTAATTTGACTAATATAACCCTACTATATCAAGAATACCAAAAGTCCACATAACTTTTCAATTGAACTACACAATCATTAAGGACAGAATTGGAAAAAAGTGACTAATTATTTCTTGATTGTTTAAATTGATAATTAATTTTGGACATCTATTTTTAGTATACCTGCCAAACAATTGTGGACGGAGGGAGTAACTAACAAAAACATAAATAGATTTGGTTTTTTTTTGTTGCATATGTGATGATCAATAACATCCATCAGCAATCATCCATAGACAATTATACATTAGAATAACTAAGTGTATGCATTAACATAAAGTGACTATGATGAGCAATATAATTACATCCACCAATAATCATCCATCAACAATTATACTAATATAAAGTGATTTTGAAAACAACTTTTTGGTATGTATAATTACAAGTCATGAATTATAAAAGTCATTTAAAAATTGATGATATACATAACATCTATGAGAATTGGATTGGTTAAAGTTGGGATATGTAAAATTTCTGACTAAATCTAAATATGTGTGCCATATTAAGATGTATGGTAATTCAAAGGGCATTTTGTTGTTTAATGTTTAAGGATATTTCAATTTTTAAAGGATATAATTTACAACATTTTGTTGTTACGAAATACTTCATCTACCAAACTCCATTTTAGAATTCTGTGAATTAATTCTATCTAGAAATATAATGGATTAATACCAGATAATTATTACTTAATATTGTATTAATTAGTTTTTTTAATAATATTTAAATTTAGTGAAAGAGTAAAATTGTAATTCAACTTTGAAGTTAAGATCTTCCCACTTATAATAATATATGATGATGATGTAATCATATAGTTTAAATTCATATTTCAAAGTTAACAAGATATACTTATATTTCAATTCAAATTTAATATGTTTTTTCATTTGAATTCAGTTTGCAAATATAATGACTCGTGATTACAATGCTGATATTATGAAATTGAAGCCTAAAGGATCGAGTCACAATCTAGATTTGTTGACAAAAAAACTTAACAAGTTGAGAAAAGAGTTTGTAAAGAATGAATAAAGGCCTGTTATACAAATCATGTAGCATAGTTTGTTTAAGAAGGTGATGAATAGTGTTTTCTAAAAAATTGATGATAAGTGAGAATGAATAGCTAGATGGAATATTATCAAGTTTTTCTTCTGATGTAAAAAGCAGTAAATTTTTTTGTATTATGAGAATTTTGAAATTCATAGGTGTAGTGTGATTTGTAAATTTGTTGCAAAAAGATTTCCTAGTCATATTGGTTGTGAAGTTTGTCGTTACATATATTAGCTTCATGGTATTACTAAATACCAAACATAGTACTAAATAATATCTCATATAACACATGGATTATTTCTTCTAATACACTTTACCAGACGATCCCCAAGAATCTATAACAAAGAAGTTCCCTTCTTCTTGTGAACCAATGGTGAAACAAGCTTCCTAGAAACTGAGGTAAAAATACATAGGTTGGTGAGTCGAAAAGCTCAAAAACATCAAATTATTTCAAAAAGACAAGAGAGGAAGATCCAGCAACTAACCAGCATCATCTATTCCAGACCTTGAGAAGACCTAAAGTTGTTTGTAAGATATCCATTTTGTAAGCATGGTTAAACATTCTAAAGGTTTCCAAAGAGGAGCCACATGACCTGATCCCTGAAAATGATGGCATACACTACAACTTCACACACTTAATCCACCAAATACCTAAGTTGCGCGAACTCTTCACTTTCGATGTCGCACCCGTGTCGAATTCTCCAAAAATACACTAGTTTTGGAGAATCCAACACACACGTTGACATTTTTGAAGAATCTGAGCAACGTAGCCAAATATCACTAAGGAAATTAAATATAATTGGAAACATAAAAGAGAGTTTATGAGAAGAATTAAAGTGAAAGTGAAGTCAAGAAACTTACCTTCACAGTGGCAAATGTCAAATTATTAGAGTAAGACTTCGTGTAGCTACAGAACAATGGAAATAAAAGATGAAACAACTTAAACCTCTCCATTTAAGGTCAGAAACAAAGGAAGAAACATTTGGTTACCTACCCAGCAACTTGGCCATTTACAATCCATTTCCGCCAATCATCAGTAACTGAGTAGTTAAGTGATCCAATCCATGCTTCAGTTGAAATAAAAGGAATAGTCAAATCATGATCACCACTGCAATTCCATATGTATGCGTATCAGTACACGATAATGACATGGCAATGCCCAGCAATAGAAAAGATCATGAGATTTGTTTTTGCAAATATAACATTAAAATGTAGTTGTCATACCTGTATATAAGTGACCTATAACCTTTGGCGCTAAGATTGGCGTGATATGGTACAACATTGTAGACATTGTATGTGAAAGATAAGTCTCCCCTGCATCGTGTCCAATTTTGAATGGTTCCCTAAAATTGAACTTTTGAATTATTATCACTTTGTTTAACGTGTATGCTTTTATCAAGACAATTGATAAACCTTTCGAACATGAAGAGCCTCTTGAACACTATCATCATTGGCCCAATGAACAGAAAGCTTGCGCCAGTCCTCCTACATTTGTAGGAATAAAATATTCATATGGAAGATTTGTATACCTCCTCTACATTTGTGTGCAATATTGAATGTGTAAGGAACCAAACCAAAAAAAAAAAAAACTATCTAAAATAGAAAAAGATTTTAAAATGTAGTTTAATATCTAAATGAAACTATGGATTATGAACACTTACAAGACATTTAACTCCGGGAAGCACCATTGAATTCTCGAGTTTGTGGAGCTTCGCATAAAGAGATGTTCTGCAGCCAACTGATCTGTATCTCTTTAACGAAACACTATCACAAAGAGGCTCTAGAATGTGTTCTTTATTTATTCCCTCGCATAACTATAAGTTCATGGCTTGTATTAATTTTCATTTGAAATGAGGAAAATGGTGTGCTGCATGAAAAATGAAACAGTGTGAACCTTATTGAATGTCTGAACGCTATTAGAACAAGCTGAATTGTTCGGAGCTATATTCTGATATTCTCCTCTACAGTTGGACACTAACGCCTACAAAGAACACACAAAATTAAAGAGTTAAATGGAAATGCAATAACAAGAAGGAAAGTGATGAAGAAATTGCAGTGGGAAGATCAAAGCAAAAGCAGTATAGGTTTACCTTGTACAGGTCATCAGATAAAAGTCCCATACCATGAGCAAATGGGATCCTATAGTTTAATTCATCTGGATTAATTGTCAAAGGATTTCCAAGTATGTAACCCTACAATTTTTTTCAAGTATGAATTGGCATCTATAATATAACTCATCTCATGTATATGCTCTATAAAAATAGCAGACAGTGCAATTTACAAATAACGTGCCCATTGTGGTTAAGTGCAATTCACAAATAACATGTCCATTTGTGGTTAACATAGACAGAGAGTCCTGCACATACAATTCTATCATCCTTGACATTTTCTTACTTCATTGCCTTATCATATGCACGTAAGCTTGGCTTGGATAAAGTCAGTTGTAATGTTGTATGCATGCAAGCGGAGTGGTTTACTTATCTCATGTAAATTTCAGGGTTAAGTTGCTCGGACCCGGGTATGGATCCAGAGGTCGGATCCTCTATGATCTAAATTTTAAGATTCGGGGATACGAATTCATGTATGATACGAGTGCGGGGATTCATCTTAAAATAATTTCAATATCTAAAAATAGAGTTATAAAACCTAAATTATGAGATATTATATGAAAAACTTGAGGAGAAATATTGATCCCCGAAAGGATATAAAAGGAAAGGAAGTGGCAATAGAAATTCATAGATACTAAGTATTTCATTTTCTTCAGTTTCACCTTAGTTTTTGTTTTGATTATAGAAATCATCAAAACTGTCTGAAATCTCTCCATCGAATTCGGTCAAAGTACCCAAAACTAGTTGACCAGATCGGGTACCGAGCAACTTAGTTTCACGGTGCTACATCCAAATCAAATTCAGTAACCGCATAACATGAAGACGTTATTAGAAAAGTAAGTTCCTTCTCTTACTAATGTGACGGCAAAATTAGGAGGCAGAGGTAGGTCGAAGAAGTATTAGGGAGAGGTGATAAAACAGGATATGACACAACTTCAGGTTATTGAGGACATGACCTTGTATAGGAGGATGTGGAGGACATGTATTTGGGTAGAAGGTTAGTAGGTAGTGTAGTGTTGTCTTGCTTAAAGTGATTGGTGTTTGCCATTGTACTAGTTGTAATATTGTAGTTCTTGTTTTGTACATTTATCATTGCTTATTATTTTTCTCAATAATCTATCCTCGTATGTTGTTATTGTAGTTCAATTATCGCACTATTTTCTTGTTACTTGCTATATTTTCTTCACTATCTCCTTCTTTGTACCTAAATTTGCTACACTTGAGCCAAGGGCCTTTTGGAAATAGTTTCTCTACCTCCACAAGGTAGTGGTAAGCCCCACTTATGAAATTTCACTAGGTATGTTGTTGTATAAGAAGCATACACTGAAAACATGCCTCAAGAAACTAATGGCTACACACAAACAGGGGCGGAGCCAGCAGTATGTCAGGGGGTTCATCCGAACCCCCTTCGGCGGGAAATCTTACTATTTATACATGGTTAAAATTATTTTTTATGTATATACAGTAGATGTCGAACCCCTTTCGACTAGTTCGTATGTTTACTTTTTCAGATTTTGAACCCCCTTATTAAAAATCCTAGCTCCGCCACTGCACACAAATGCTGAGAAGGCTACAATCATCAAGGACCTCGTTAATGAAAGATTAAGCTTCCGCTACATATACTTGAGGCACATATTGCATGTTAGGGATTGCAGTGTGTGCCGCTGGTATATGTTGGTCGCTTGGTATTTTTGGGTAAGCGAGGTGGTTTGGGTTAGTGGAGTAGTTTGGATGACTGGAGTTTGGGTAAGTGAAGTTTGGGATGCATATGGAGTAGTTAAGGGTAAAGGGTTGTCTTGTTGCGGATTGTTTTGTGGAAGTTAGGTTATTGAGGGTTGGTGGATTGTTTGGAAGCAGTTGGATTGGTCTTGTGAAGGGAGGGGTTTGGTGGACCAGATCGAGTACCGAGCAACTTAGTTTACGGTGCTACATCCAAATCAAATTTAGTAACCGCATAACATGACGACGTTATTAGAAAAGTAAGTACCTTCTCTTACTAATGTGACAACAAAATTAGGAGGCAGAGGTAGGTCGAAGAAGTATTGGGAAGATGTGATAAGACAAAATATGACACAACTTCAGGTTACTGGGGACATGACCTTGTATAGGAGGATGTGGAGGACATGTATTTGGTAGAAGGTTAGTAGGTAGTGTAGTGTTGTCTTGCTTAAAGTGATTGGTGTTTGCCATTGTACTAGTTGTAATATTGTAGTTCTTGTTTTGTACATTTATCATTGCTTATTATTTTTTTCAATAATCTATCCTCGTATGTTGTTTATTGTATTTCGACTATTGCACTATTTTCTTATTACTTGTTATATTTCTTCACTGTCTCCTTCTTTGTACCTGAATTTGCTACACTTGAGCCAAGGGCCTTTTGGAAATAGTTTCTCTACCTCCACAAGGTAGTGGTAAGGTTTCCATACATTGTACTCTCCCCAGACCACACTTATGAAATTTCACTAGGTATGTTGTTGTATAAGAAGCATACACTGAAAACATGCCTCAAGAAACTAATGGCTACACACAAATGGCTGAGAAGGCTACAATCATCAAGGACCTCGTTAATGAAAGGTTGAGCTTCCGCTACATATACTTGAGGCACATATCTAGTGTCCAAGCTTGTTTGATTGCACAAGTTAAGGGAGAAAATTTTGCAAAAAAAAAGGTTTTTAATCAGCCACATCCATGTGGTAGGAAAATATGCCTATCTAAGTCACTTAGTGGCACCCCCTCATCAATGTACATGTGTACACACACAACATATGTCTAATACAGTAGCGAAAGACTTCAAAATCACAAACCTTAAGATTAATCATTGGCTTGGTCTTCGCATCATTCCCTGCATGATAAAAACTTCTAATGAATGTCAAAAGTAGAATTACGTGTAGAGTAGAAGTGCATTGAAATCCTTCTAATTGACTTCAGACGGAATACTTGCACAGTGAGGAGGGAACATTGAGCTCTTTATAATACACGCATATACATAGACAAACATTTGAAAGGAGCATAATTCTTTATAGCAATCTATTGTACAAAATTTCTGGGATGAAGAACCTACATCAATGTATGATACATAAAAGAAGAAACAAAGACATCTCATATTGATTCCACCACTTACTGTCACTTCTATAACTTTCTAAGTTAAATGCTGTAAAAGCTAAAATTCATAAAAGCTATGAATTAAAGTGTAACACCACAACTGCAAATGTAATGCAGCAACAATAATATTTTGTGACAACTCTATGATTTTTGTCATTCCTATTATTTACCTTAAAACATTTGAAGTAGCAAAATTTACTGATACTGATAAATATCTCGGCCAAGCAATAAATAAAAGATAATTATGCATTTTGTTGGCCCAAGGTTTCGTAATTTATCTGTTACTTTTTATGATAACAACAAATTGAGAAAATAAATTTTGATTAAATTTTTATCTAATGAAAATTTCTATTACCACAGGAACTAAAACAGGATAAATATGATTATCCATGCATTGATCAAAACTTCTACTTTGTTTCACAATCAATTGACTAGCACATGAATGAAACTACAATAGATCACACATGAACTAATCACTAACCACATCTTACTTCTTAGTATCAGATATATAAACTCAGCCAATAAAACAATTGTCCAAACTACATAGATCCCTTTTTATATAGGTCCAAACTAGCATACAACTCCTAGAGTAGCATTTAGACAAATTCAGTTCATAACTGTAAGACTTTATTTAGTTTTGAACTTCAAAATTTGAGGAAAAATGTTGTAGCATATAATTATTATACGAAATCAAATCTAGAATGGAAGTAGATCAATAAAGAAAGGAATAAGATTAAATTAAATTCTTGATGATGAAGACAAGTTTTCATCCATGAGAACCATACCATTTGATATTGTTTGAACAACAATTGGAACAGTTGTCCCAGAGTACGAGTCACCGCCAATATATATTGGATTTTGAAGGAACTTTGAATGATTAGCCAACCACTACAAAATGCCAAAATACAAATATTATCAAATTAATGCAAAATGTAGAAAAACAGCGTAGAAGAAAAGATGGAAATTGTTATAAAATCAAATCGTGCATGATTAAAAGCAAAAGCTATTTAATTTCAACTACAATGGAAATTTTTTAAAACCAAATCGTCATTCATCTCACTGATAGAGATGTAGGAGAACAACTTAAAATGCAAATAAAAGAGCACAAAGAAACAAAAAGGAAATGAAAGAAATTACCTTTTGAAGAAATTGGTAAGCATGTTCACCAGTTTGTAAATTATTTGTTTGATTTGCCTTTTCAGTTGTTGCATAAGAGAATCCTGTCTTCACTGGCAAATCTAGAAAGATTATGCTTGCCACCTAAACCATTTCATTTATTGGCATTTCAACAATCTAGAATCATTCAAAATTTTATACGTACTTTCTTAAAGAGTAAGGTAAGTGCTCACCTTGGTCCATGAATGGGTATTCAATGATAGAGTAGGTAAACTACCATTATACTCCATATCATCAAAGTGCAGAGGACCTGGATGGTTTACCAAATTGGATTGATTAGTCCTCGCAGCTCTAGGTTTTCAATTATTAATATAATAATGAATATAGTTGTTGTTATGTTTACTACCTATTGTCTATTGTACTTTCATTACGTACCTTTTTAGTTTGTTTTTGTCTTGAGACGAAAGTCTATTAGAAACAGTCTTTGTACCTCATCTGTGAGGTAAAGATAAGGTCTTCTACCCTCCCCAGACCCCAGTCTGTGGGAATAGGGTAGAATGTACGTAGACCTTATCTTTACCTCACAAATGAGGTACAGAGACTGTTTCTAATAGACTTTCAGTTCAAGACAAAAACAAACTAAAAAGTACGTAATGGAAGTACAAGAGACAATAGGTAGTAAACATAACATCAGATAGTAGCAGAACCGTACCACAACCAAATATTACTACCATCAAACTACACGAAAAAACATATATCAACAAAATCGAAGAACAAGAAACTACATGCATAGCACTAAGACTACTAGTAAGAAGCATCAAGACAATGCACTCCTACCTACTAGCACGGACACACTCTTACCTACTAATTTTCAATCTTAATCCGTGTCCTCCACACCTTCTTATATAAGGAGAGACTAAAAATAAACTTATAAAAGGATTACAAAATCAAATCTCTCTGCTACACCGAAGAAAAGGGCTAAAAGAATTTCCAAGTAAACATAAAAATTAAGTGAATACTACAACTACTACTACTTATTATGATGAAGTATATTACCAAATTCCATAGTCAATCCTTCAAGTGAAGAGCAACCAGGTCCACCTGTTATCCATAGTATAAGCGGGTCGGTTTCAGGATCCGACTCTGACTTCACAAAATAATAAAACAGTTGCACTTCCTCACCTTCACCAACTCCTATATATCTATCATACACAGTAACAACACAACAAATTACAAATACCATCTTGTACAAAAAGAATCCAAAAAAAAAAAAAAAAACTTCTTACCCAGTATCTAGTTGAAAAGGAAGAAAACCGAAGCCAGGCAAATACTTGACTAAAGAAGTTGATACATCAAAGTGTGGAGGTGGAGTTCTCTCCAATGGAAGGAAAAAGAGGTAAATGATAAATAGAGGGTATACATATTGTAGATAACTCAACACCAAAATCAGTTTTCCGACTTCCATTTTCTCCTGCGAAACCTTCTGCACTTTCTTTTTTTAGGTACTCTCTTCTATTTATTACGAGTTCCTCGATACTAGGAAATTTTGACTTGTGAGGAATTGTACTATCGAAAAAATTACAAAAATATCACTATAACTTCTATTAAATGTGATCAGGTCCTCTAAGTTTATCACTCTACCTACCACCAGCCGGTCTTACATCAATTTTTTTAAGAAAATGATTAAAATGGTCCGAGCCTCCGAGGGTTGAGATTATTTGATCCTTGATGTATTCACTTGATGTTATTTTTTATTACTGGTTTTAAGTTTCTAGTTTTAAAAATATTTTTTAAACTTATTGTACTTACCAAATTCTTCAAAATCATTGTTCTAAGGGGTCGTTTGGTTACTGGTTAGAGTTATACAGGTATTAGTTATGCAGGTATTAATTATGCAGGGTTTAGTTGTGCATGGTTTAGCTATGCGAATATTAGCTATTGCAATACATGAATTATTAACTATTGAATATTGAATTTGTTGTAAATTAGTAATATATATTATTAACAAAATAATAATACATATAATTAAATATGTTGAATATATTTAATAATATATATCGCTAATATTCGATTAACTATGTGCCGTCAAAATTCATACAACCAACTTCTAATATTAATAAAATATTTATATTTACATAAATAAATACAAACTGTACGTACATATATATAGAAAGAAATAAAAAATGTTTGTATATAAAAACAAATTGAAAAACAAACGTAGTAAGGAAAACTGTAAAGTTCTCAATTAAAAAAAAAATAAAAAATATTAATAGGGTAAATATGTAATAATACCCACATAACTTATTCCACCTACTATCCCACACAACTTATACATAGATTCCTTCATAAGTTATGTTGGTATTAATTATGTAAGACAACAAAAAACACAACCAAACACCATATAAATATATACATGAATAATTTTTATACAACATTCAAAATCGTATCAATTAAACATGGTATAACTTATGTTGACCTTTATACCTAATACAAAACATCTACCAAACATAATAAAGCTAATGCAACTTTTTATATATGAATAAGATGTGTCTTATACCCAGTAACCAAACGGCCCCTAAGTGTTTTAGAAATACAGGTTAATAACAATTATTCCTACGATGGCAACAAGCATAGAAGCAAAAAACAAAATCACGAACAACAACTGCTTGGGTTGTGGCATTTGTAAATGAAAAGAGCTAAGCGATAAAAATAGGCCTCAACAATTGCCACGTGGACATATGACTTGACATAAAGATACGCACATGGTAAGAAACAATTAATGCGAAGAGATGCGGATCGAATCATAAGGTTTTTGAAAACGAAAGAAAGCTTAATCAACCTAATTAACTTGTCTTCAATTAGAGCTGTCAAAATAGGATTGATCTGTTAAGTCGGTTCAATTCAATTCTTGAATTATATAAGATTGGAATTAATTTTTTGGCTCATTTAGAAACGAGGCTTTTAGGCTTAACCTTATTTGGACCGCTAGCCTCGTAGGCTCAAACCGCGAGGCTTAGAGGCCAGTTCGTGGGCTATGAATATTAAAAAATATTTATTATAAATATTTCAGTAGTGTTTTATTTGTAAAAAATTTATTAATAAATATCTAAAAAATATAAAATCAAGTCTAACTCTTTTGTAGATCTTTTATATTCTAGGGTCATTAGCCCATTAAAATCAAACATATTTTTGTTTTTATACCTAATTTTTCATTTCCCCTTTGTTGTCTTGTTTATGAAAAATTGATTATGTAATATTTTTTGCTCGGATGAATCTTACAATATTGTATCATGGCTATTATGTATTTTTGTAGTATTCAATGAAATATGTAATTTATAAATTAATTTTTATTTGTATTGATGTCATGTTCATCAGAGATCAGCGTTCGATACTCTTAGATACTCTTTCTAAGACATCAATGTTGTTCATTTTTTGGTTGAAGGGCCGACTCGTCCCAACCGTGACCCGCTTAGGACTGGGTTTGGCTGTTATTTTATAGGCCCTTTAATTAAAGAGTAAATTTTAGGTTTAGCAAACATAAAAACCATATTTGTATAGTATAACTATAGTTTGTATAATTGAGCTCCATAGCAAACATAACGTTTGTTATGGCTATTAATCTGTATATTTTGGTATACATATACATAAAAATTTGTATTTGTATATTTCGGTATACAAACTAAAACATAATAATTGTATATAAACAAAATTGGCATTCTATTTTGCACGTCAAATTGAAATAAGGCCACCTTTTGATTGCAGCCAAGGCAAGAATGCCACAAATGGTGTTTAGCAACCTGAAGCAAATGTTTTCCCTATCTCATATATACAACACATATGTATACCAAATGGGTCTATTTGTATATTTCGGTATACAAATGAGATGACAAAAAACATGAAATGTTTGTTGCGAATTACAAATAAAAGAAACTATGGCTATAACATTTAATTTGAATTAATAATTTGCTATTTCATATAATTTTTCCTTAATTAAAAGGGTCAACCCTCCTAATCCATTTAACTCTCTAGTCCGTTAGGGTTGAATTGGATTGGATTGGATCAGCCTATTTTGACAGCTCTATCTTTAATCTTATTTTTATTATCTAACTTTATTTGCACCTATATGATTTTTCCGACAAACAAATGTTGTATGTGACTTGTACATATCATTCCTTTAAAACCTTGAGACTTTTTCCTAAATCAAACACATAACCCCATGGAAGTTCAAAAATATATATAAATGAATAGCTTTTATGATTGGTTTTTAACCATTGATCTCATTATTATTGATAGAATTGACTTGTAATTTTGCAAACCTTTAACTCAACTATGTAAATTAAAGAGGAGCAATAGCAATAATTTCTCTCTTAATATACATAGTGATCGAACAAACTATTCAGATGGTACTTCTTTGACAGGCTTCCCTTTCTCTCTTAGCTTGGCGATGGACTCTTTCATAGCCTCCTTTCTCCTCTTGCTAGCTAATACTTTAGCCAACACACCACTCACATTTGGATCCTTTTTCTCCGTTGGCGGGGGTGGTGGAGGCCTTCTTGCAGCGGCATTTGCATTGTTGTTACCTCCATTCAGCGCCGCCGCTACTCCAGCCAAGCTCAAGGCCAAACTTCTGCATAAATGCCATATATTTTCAATAATATCAGCATTTCTTAGCGTTGTACTGCATGTCAGCTAATTTTATAGTATTAGACTACCTATTATTACCTATATATATATATATATATATATATATATATATATATGAACTTCTCATTTTGCATATTTGTAGTGCTATGCCTAGTATTTTTAACTGACTACATCATATCATATAGATCTAATCCAATTGACAAGACTGATAGAAACCATGGGAATTTCATAATGTATAGTATTGTATCGTATTATATTATTTTATCCATTTTACATAATGTGTACATCAACAATTTGAATGATAAGCCTACACGATCAAAAACGGATAGAGCCGTAGGGAGAAGAGTTATTATGAAAATGTTGGGTAAAAAATAAAAATATATGATTATTAAATAATTAAGTAAAGACAAAATGAGAAGAAAATATTAAGAAAACGACACAATGATATACCAAATCAGTGGCTACACAAAAATGAGACTTTTCATCGTTACCTAACAATAGATTTAAACGGTACAATACAATAAAATTTAAGTAAAAAATCAAAACAAACATTGTATTTAAACTAACAATACAATACGCAACGGATAACAACCATTATATTCAAACAAGCTAATTAAGGTGTATGGTCTAGGATTAGATTCATCTCTACAAGACTACAACATATATTGTCTTCATTCTTTTGGGAGTTGGAAGACAAATAATTAAATAATTAAACGTATAGCTAACCTGCGAGAGACATTAATCTTTGCGTCCAATTGACAAGCCAAAACTTTAAAAGAACTCAAACGGGCATTCTTCTTGGTTGATAGTGAGGTTAGTGTAGCTGCTGCTGTAGGGGACACTGACTGAGCCATAATTTTGGTATGTGTGTGTGCATTTGCTTGGTCTAAATGAATTGGACATTTCTATAAGTCAAGATCGAACACGTACCACACAAAACAAGAAATGTTCTTATGTGGTTTTAGGGATAATACTAAGCATTTGGCATTCAAATTTTATTGGTTGCTTCTTGATAACTTCTTTTTTGGTGGACCCCAACTTCCTTATCTATTTTATTTCTATCTAGCTACACCAAAGGCTACAAAATACCCTAAACCATTCAAAATAAAATTAAACGGATAATTTTAGAATATTCTCTTCCTAATTTCTTATGAGGATTATGATATTGCTAGTGAATATTTATGTGCTTTGTGCAGTTATAAATTACAAAAAATATGTTATAAATATAAAAATACCTTATAAAACACTAATTTCTTGTGTAGATTATGATATTACTAGTGAATTAATATTTATGTGCTTAGCCTGATTATTATAAAATAGAAAAGTATGTTATAAATATAAAAAGGAAAAATTATGCGGTTAAGCAAACTTATACTATTTAACTAGGGTACATGGCCGCGCTTCGCGCGAGGGTTAAAAGATATGTGTTAAAATATTTTTTCTTGTAGATTAATTATATCATTATATTTTCCGAGCGTATCATTATCTCTTTATTTGAAATGATACATGCTCTATTAAAAATTACTTTATTTCCATTGCACTGAATGGGGAATTGTTAGTATGTTTTGATGGTCCTTCTTGTTTTTTTATTAAGATGCCAAAGAGATTGAACTTTTATATTGTAATATCTATCATGAATACTTTTGTGAATGTAATTGAAATGTTTTTCAATGTAAAATAAAAGGAAGAAGGGTGGGATAGTGCCCGATTGATTGAGCGTCTTACAACCCGTCATGCACCCGCCTCCAATAGATGACTAGCTATTATATAAGTGTTGATCTAAGCCCCTGCGCAGGGGCTCGGCTCCCGGATTCATGTCTGGCCCTTCCTGGGTCTGGATCACAGTATACCAGCGACTTTGTCCTTGAATTCATTCTATTTCATATCCACCGATCCATGGAAGAGACCAAGGAAGAGTAAGATAGATTTAAGGCCGGCAGGCGGGTCTAGAATAGATTACCCAACGGGTCCCGATTCGCACCCGCGGGTCAAAGAAGACCAATAAAATCTCGATTCAGCATAAGCAAGGGATGAGAGAGGCCTTACGAGGGCTCTTTCCCACTTAATAGATTCATTCCTTCGTTACGGCGATTGTGGGTACCTGCCGTTCAGTATTAGATTGATTTTTAGAAAATATATTCTCTAATAAAAAGATATTTCATCTCCCTATTACATTGAAATCAATTCATAAAAAACTTCATGTCATTCTTCTCTGTGTATATATTTTTTCAATCACTCTTGTTCCTTTCTGAAATATGCAATTCGCTATTGCATAATATTTCCATACATCACTTTAACCGCTTTGCTTGATTTTTCAGTTGCATTTGTATTTAACAATAAATGTTTTGTTAATTGTATAGAAGTACAACTTAATATAGTTATGAATATTATCATTAATATTTTACCTTGACAATTCTCCGAACTAATTTGTTGGGGATGATCCATGATTTTTTTTATCCATTGTAGTACTTTTGTATAAGTATTTGTCAAAGTCAAACTAAGGATAGAGTGTTGCAATAAAATGTAATTTAAATATAATAATATTGAACATTTGAAAAACTAACCTTAATTAACCACTATGAGTAGATGGTGACTATGAAGATAAATGGTGTGTCTTGATGTTTTTAATTTTGTTTGTGGTATTTATACCACTTTTTTTATTTGTTGGTTGTGCTTTCCATTTAATTGTTTAAATGATGAATTCATTATTTGAATTTGTTAAATGTTTGCGTAAAGATAAGTGTCAAGATTTTGATAAATAATTGGAGGAAAGTTGGGGATTTGGTTTGATATTTATTTATTATGAAAGATCTATTATTAATTTATTATGTAAATATAGTAAATGAAAATGTGTAGAGGATTAGTTTAGGATGGTGTAATTGTATAAAAAGTAATTCATAAATATGCAAGTTCATCAACACATAATGTTACATGATTCTGTAATATTGTTGGTATTTTTCTCTATTTTTCTCTTTTGAAAAATTAGTGTATTTATACAACTTTTTTCCTTAATTGGTTGTGCTATCCGTTTAATTCATTTAAATAATGAGATTATTTTTGAAACAATTCCATGAAGAATTGCTATTTATAGATTGATTAATCATGAAAAATTAAGTAGAAGGAAGTTGAGAAGACACGATATTTAAGTAGAGAATGCAAATAGATAGATATTTTTTTTGTAACTCATGAAACACACTTTTTCTTAAAAAAGAATAATAATTATCATTTGCAAAAGTAAATTTTAATAAATTTTGTAATAACACTCGATCTTAAAGCACTATAATCAATAAACATTTCCAATAGTGAAGACGCACTGAAGCACTATACGAAAACCTATATACTCCTAATTTGTAGTAATCTTTCAAACAACAAATGTTAAATATTTAATAGAATTACTATCTATTTTTTTTTAAAAAGAACTTCTAATAATAATAATAATAATAATAATAATAATAATAATAATAATAATAATAATAATAATAATAATAATAATAATAATAATAGTAATAATAATAATTAAAAAAAAATTAAAATATGAAGATTTCAAAGTTACGTATTAATAGTCAATCTTTCTATGAATTACTATATTTGAAAATTAATTAACTTTACATTCCCATGTTCTATCATTATAATTAATAAAAATTTGATCCACATAACTATAAAATTATATTTACATGCTTTCTTGAGTAGTATACTTGTATATGTTAACTCCATTTTCTGCTTTTATTTTTAAAAATATCCAAACTTGAAAACACGGTAAGTTAACCTTAAGCAACAAAAAAAATATAAAAATAAAATTAACTAATCAAGAATATTTAGCTATGAGTTAAAGAGGAAAGAAGGAACCTACAAAGAGAAGCAAAGAGAAAAAATCAAATCATTTTTTCTAAAAAAAACCTCATGATTCATATAATCAATATTTAAATATATATATATATATATATATATATATATATATATATATATATATATATATATATATATAATAGAAAAAAAGTGATACTATATTATGCATGTCAAATCATTTTACCTCGTAAAAGCCAACTATGTAAAAATGTCTAATATATTCATTATAGATCTTTCTCCTGCAAAATCAAATCAAAGAAGACAAAAAATTAACCAACCAATGAGACAAAAGATGAAGATTAAAAAAAATGAAAATAAAATAATCATCATATATGTCTCAAAATAGGTTTTTATAAGTGTGATTTTGATGAGTTATAAAATTGTATATTAAATAATTTGAAGGTTATGAATATGAAAGGTTAGGAGTTATAGATGTTACTAAATTAATTATGTAATTGAAGAGGTAGGAATTAAAGAGATGATTTTATAAAATAAAATAATTTAAAAAATTAGAAAAAATATCAAAAAAAATAAAAATAAATTCTTGACCATTGAAAAATGTCACATCACTTTTTTTTGTTTATCTAGCTTTATATATATACATATAGATTTAAAAGACATATTCATTAAAAATAGCCATACGTCAAAATAGTAAAATACGTCAAGTATGCATTTATTATAATTGTACTAACGTATTTGGTTAAAGGATGAAAACATGTGTTTTCTAAATCCTATAAAAGGGTAGTCTTTTCACCCTTGTGAGAACACACTTGAAGAGTTTTAAATAATATTCTCCACTCTATACTTCTCATCACAATTTGTCTTCCTTACTTGTTTAGTATTATTATATTTTGCTCTCATTTTACAACACGTTATCAGCAGGAGTCTCTAACCAACTGAGACCTACTTAATTCGAAATTAATTCCTAAAAGTTAATCAACTTTCATTTAGAGTCAGGTATACATTTATATGTTTATAACATCTCTAATAGGACTTGCATAAATCTTTGATCCGTAATTTAATTACTGCATATATAACTTGCTTTAGGTATTATTATAATACTTTATTAGGCATAATAATCAATACGTTTCATATTTATATGTTTATGTTGTTTATATGCTACTAACTTATAACTCTAAATTAAATAGTAGGAAATGTGATAACATGCTAGTTAGAAGACTTGTAAATATTTTCTTGTCATAAATTTATGATAAATATTTGTGTGTCATAAAGAAAGTAGTATTATATTAAATATGACTTGAAAAACTTACAAAAGTTTGACGTTAATAACTATTGAAACTAGAAGTAAATATTGAAAAATAATTAGAACATATATTAAATTTACCGTTTCATACTTAATGAGTTTACATGTTTTTGTAACATTCCATGTTCATGCATATAATATACTTTATACTAATTCTTAATCATTTGAAACATAAAGTTATCTTTTATTATAAAGAAATCACATCATGTTATTAACTCAACTATTTTATGATAGTTTTCATCATGTCGAATTTGTCAAAGCTTGAATTTGTGGCACTTGACATTTCTGGAAAGAACTATTTGTCATGGGTACTTGATGCTGAAATTCACCTTACCGCTAAGGGTCTTGGTGATTGTATAATCGAAGGAAATAAAGCATCAAGTCAAGATAAAGTGAAGGCTATGATTTTCCTTTGTCATCATCTTGATGAAAGCCTGAAGGTTGAATACCTAATAGTGAAAGATCCACTTGAATTGTGGATAGGTTTGAAAGGGAGGTATGACCACCTCAAGGCAACGGTATTGCCAAGGGCTCGTTATGAGTGGATGCACTTACGGTTTCAAGATTATAAAACTGTAATTGAGTATAACTCTGATGTATTTAGAATCACTTCCCAATTAAAATTATGTGGGGAAGTTATAAAAGATGAGGACATGTTGGAAAAGACTTTAACTATTATCCATGCCTCCAATATGATATTACAGCAGCAATACCGTGAAAAGGGTTTTAAAAAATACTCTAAATTAATCTCATGCCTTTTGGTGGCTGAGCAACATAATGACCGTTTAATGAAAAATCATGA